TCAATTTACTTAAGTATTAATAAAAGTCTGGGGCAGGAGCTACACCCCAAATATTAAAAAAAAAAAAAAAAAAAAAACTTGAAATATTAAATAGACCTGGTCAGCTTTATTATTTTTTTTTTACAGATATTATCATAATTTCTGAAACACATGCTTATTACCCAAAATCTTTTTGGTCATTCGGTAAATTATCTAACTTACTAGAAACTACATCACTGTCTTCGGACCTTTAGTTTGGAGGCAGTGATGTAATTTCCAGAGAGTTAGATAATTTACTGAACAACTAAAAATATTCGGGTAATAAGCAGGTGTCCCAAAAATTATGATATCTGTAAAAAAGAAAAGTTCTAAATTTTACTAGCCATAGGATTCAGGAAATTGGGTAAAATTCACTATCCAAATTTTTTTTAGATCATGTGAAGTTATTTATTTGAAATATGTATGATTCATATATGAAGCAAGCAAATAAATACGGTAATAATTAAATTAGTATCTCCGCTTCGCTTTACTTTGGATAATATTATGTGATCTGAAAAAAATTTGGGTGGTGAATTTTACCTAATTGGTTCAGGGCACAGCTTTAGCTTAAAGGCATGCTCTCTTGGGCATGCTTTTAGTTCCTTTAATTTAGAAGCATGGCCTAAAATTTTTTTTGCATATAGTATACAAATTTTTTAGTAAAAAGCATGCTATATAAAAAATATTCAAACCTCTATACCATATTCTCTACTGGCCAGGTTATGAAAACTAATTAATTAATTTTTCATGACCTAATTATTTTAAATATTAATTTTTGTATGATATTAGGATCATTTACAGCTTACTGTTATGCTAGCGTGTAATGCAACTGGTACAGAAAAATTAAAACCATTAGTAATTGGTTCTTCAATTTCTCCTCGTGCACTTTTTCGTATTAATTATGATTCCTTACCCATTATCTATTATGCAAATTCCCGAGCACAGATGCGAAATAACATTTTTTCTAAATGGTTAAAAAATTTGGATCAGAAATTTTACCTTCAAAATCGTCAAGTACTGATATTAGTTGATAATGTCTCATCACATTCTATGACCAAACTAATGCCCCAGAATCACATGAATCAAATGAATCAAATTCAGAAATATCTGATGATAACTTAGAACCTGAAGTTACACCTGTTTTATGTGGAAATCAACGAGGTCGATGTCGGCCAAGATTAACCAGAACCAATCAAAGTACAAGCAATAGTCGTGGTAATTGTGGTAAATATGGTAAATGTGTTACTGGTAGTAATAAGGGCCATTATAGTAGTGGTTATGGTCAATCATGTATCATTCCTGACTATTCAAATGTAAAATTAACTAATATCAAGCTTGAATTTCTACTCCTAAACACCACTGCTCACCTCTAGCCTATGGACATGGGGATCATCAAAAGTTTCAAATCTAAATATAAACAAAAGTATATCCGTTATATACTAACACAAATTGAAAACAATAAAGATTTAAAAAAGTTAATAATTACGCTTTAATTAAGCCATACAAAAATTTCAAAAAGCTACTACTGCTATTTTCATAATTTCTGAAATACTTGCTCATTACTTGAAATTTTTTTAGTTGTTCAGTAAATTAGCTAACTTTCTGGAAATAACATCACTATCTCCGGACTGAAGGTCTGAAAATAGCGATGTAGTTTCCAGAAAGTTAGATAATTTACCAAATGAAAAAGATTTTGGGTAATGAGCAGGTGTTTTAGAAATTATGAAAATAGCAGTAAAGTGTATAAATTTTTTTTTCAAGAGTTTTATCCCAGTGGGCTATGATTAATTTTGTATGGCCTTTGTAATAAATTTTTTAACACTAATATGATTTCAACTTTAATTAGAAAAAATTAAATATTAAAGATGCCATTTACTACATCTCTGAGTCTTGAGATAATATTGAAAATTCAGTAATTGTCAACTATTGGAGGAAGACAGGAATTCTGGCATCAGTTTCCCATGAAGAAATAGAAGTCGCTACTAATAGTCAGAATACATTGTTAGAACAGCAAGAACAGGACATCGACATGTTGGTGATAGATTTAACCTTTCAAGATCCAAATCCAGAAATAAAAGACCAACTAAACATATACCTAAATCTCAATGATTTGCATATAACAACTAAGGAGAGGCTTGAAGATTCAGAAATTATCAAAATTGTTTTGGATGAAGCAAATCAGTGTAAAAATAGAGATCCTGATGACTCGGACGAAGAACAACCAGAAATTCCTATTTCAGAGAGGCTAATGAGCTTAAATAAGTTTATTAGTTTCTTTGAACAATAGAATGATGCAGATTTTAAATCTGAAGATCTCAAAATTTTTCAAAAATACCTGACCTTAGTAAATCAAAAATATATTGAATCTAAGCGTCAAACTTCTATTAGTGATTTTTTTACGCTATTAAATAATGAGAAAGATTATGATGATAAATTGTGATATGAAATTTTTAAATAGATACTTATGATACATATATACCCATATAAATATTTTACAGCATGAATTATTTTATCCATATTTTAGCTATTTTCATTGTGAAAGATTATAGTTTTTTTTGCAATTCGGGAATAAAAGTATTCGGCATGTTATAATATGCCTATTGTGCTATAAATTTGAATCTAAATTCACGATAATAAAAGAATTGATCAGTTTTAATATAATTATTAAAAGATAAATTCGTATAAAAAGTACAAAAAGTTTACCTCAATCAAATTCAATATTTCATACTAATCACCAATAATTGATCTATCAAAGAGGATAAAGTATTGAGAAAACCTTATACAGTATTGTAAATAAAACAAAATATTAAAAGTTCTTGTAGGTGGTATTGTGGGCTAGAGTTAGGGTTAGCTGATTTTATTAACGTTAGTTAAATAATACTATCCGTAAGAACTTGACATAAGCTGAATCTAGTATTCATAATCAGGTTAAGAGCTTTATTTGAAACCCCAACACATCTAAGAAACAAGAAATAATTAGCATAGATAACACTCAAGAAAATACAATTACAAAGAGAAATAAAATGGGAGATCCCTATAATTAAATCCACTTAATCATGCGGCATACAAATCTTGATCTATGTTCTTACGGCTTGATTAAGGTTTGATAGTTTAAAGATTATATTCTATTTTATTTTTTATTAAAAAATTAGCCGAAAGTTAATGGAGTTAATATTAAAAAAAGTAAAAGGCAAGAATGTAATACATGTTATATACTTACCTCTATTAAATCACACCTATAAATTTTAATATAATTTGTGCTTACATGGAGGTACCTTTTATAAAGTCACATTTCTTTATAATCATCTGATTGGTGTATGCCCAACAGCATGATTATAAGGGAGGATGACTGTAGTACCAAAATTATTGAATTTCAACTACTAAATCATAACTTAATATTATTAATTCATATTTTATAAAAGCTTAATAATCTTGTAATCTAATAGTCAAATTTTAATAATTTTGGTACTATTTAATTCATTATGATGAGATGGTTTAAAATTATTTAATTCTAATTGCTAAATTCTAAAATATTTGCAAAAAACAATTTATAGTACAATTTTGTAAGAAATTTAAAATATTTCAATTATTATAAAATATATTTATAATGTTTTAATAAAATTTGAGATTAGAGTTTGGATATTAAAAATTATTTTTTTTTTATATAATAATATAGAGCTAATAAAAGGTTTTAATTTTAGTTTTTATAAGGTTTTTTGGGTTTCTAAATATTTTTACTTAGAGTACTTAATCCTGTTTATTTAATACATTTTTGAGAAATAAAAACCTATAATATAAACACAATAAGTATATTTTAGTAAATTTTAAATATTTTTGCTAAAGTTTTATATAAAATTGCATCACAAATCATTTTTGTGAATATTTAGAGATTTAGTAATTAGAATTAAATGATTTGATACTATTCAAACAGTCTTATCACAATGAATTATATGGTATTAAAATTGTCAAATTTTAACTAATAAATTATAAAATCATTAAGTTTTTATAAAATATGAATTAATAAAATTAACTTGTGATCTAGTAATTAAAATTTAATGATTTTGATACTATTTAATTCATTATGATAAGATGATTCAAATAGTACCAAAGTTATTAAATTTTGAGCACTAGATTACAAGTTATTTTATTTTTTTAATTTGGCAGTCTTGCTTTTACTTTATTAAGTTTAATAATATTATATTTGAAATATTAAATTTTTCAGAGGGCTATCCCTTCTGATATCTAAGTTACAAGTATTAGCTTATCTGATTGTTTAGAGAATATCTATATATGACCTGCTATATTAAAATTTACCTCTATACTAATTTACTCTACAAATGAATTCATTAATATTTTCTTAGATGATTTTTATAGCCTGTTAATACTACTAGTTAATTTTTCATTATTTTGCATGTTGTCTCTCTTTTTATCCAACTCAAAACTTTATTCTTAGTTAAATCTAAAACAGTTTTCTATCTTGCTTCAGTTTTGTTCTTTTTGTTTTTTTTTTTTTTATAAAACTCATCAATTGGGTTTTTCTTTTTACTTACTCTTTTTTTTTTCTTATTATTATTATTTTTTTTCTTTTAGTATCTGTGCTAGATCCTCTCTTTTCTTTTTACATTATACTATTCTCCTTCTCCTACTCTTGTACTAATTTGTATCTTGCAACCTTATAGATTTTTTTTATTTATTTTTTTAGAGCCTTACTTTGAAGTTTCTTGCTTGTTTGTTAAATATAAAGCTTAACTGTATTTTATCAAAGTCTTCTTTTGTGATTAGACCTTTTATCCATTGCTCTCTTCTATAAAGCTCTTCAGCTATAGTTTTCTTTTCTATTATGACTAAGATCTTTTCTTTCTTTTTATACATGTCTTGTATTTCTCCTATTTCTTTCAGTATCAGCTCTACTTTTTGTTTTTCTATATCCCATATTAAATTTAAAAATATTTCGCAGCTTACTAGATGTTCTATGTTTTCTGTTTTCTTTTGCATATAATATAAAATAAAATTCTTGATACTATATTACTAGAAATAATTAAATATTAAAATTTAAAGCTTATTGAAGTTATGAAACCAAAAGAAAACATCTACATTTACTATTAACAGGCATAAAGTTTAATTGTAAAAATAAATAAAAATGATTTCTGCAAATGTAAAAGCTTTAATATAATGAATTTTTTTAAAATTAATAAAATTGCTAACAAAATTTAAAGTTGTTGCCCAAAAAAAAAAAAAATGAAAAATAAAAGAAAATAAAAGAAGCCCTGTAATTGCATCAGGAAATTTTTTCTATTCGGATCTGCAATATTCTTGAAAACACGGATTTTTACAGCATGGGAAAATTTTTTAGTGTAAATCTCAAAATTTTTTAAAACCAAAATTCTACACAAAATTGTATTTATTTTCTATGAAAATAGCCACCAGGTTTGAAGATTTGCGCAATGCAAATGTTTTATATAATAGATCTGCACTAACAATTTTTCCCTATGCGTAGTAAAACTAAACTTCATGAAAACGTAAATTTAATTTGAAAAAATAGTATAGAATAAAATAAGAACCGAGGAATAAATCAATTATTATTCGTGAAATGGATAATAATATATACTTCTTATTTAAATATTAATTTCCATTTAAGTCGTTTTAGCATCTAAAATCTATTTTGAGTTTAGAATCTGAATCTACAGATATTTCTAACGGTATACTTATAATTTATGAAATTTAATTACTAACGCTAAGTGTGATATAATTATGCGTTTATAAAAATTTTTTTCACAAATATATATTTTAGAACTTGAAATTTTAAAATCAAACTAAAAGTTGAAGCAGCCGGATTTGCTAGAATCTGATAAATTTAATGATAATCACGGCAGAATCCTGGTCTAATATTACAATCTATGGGATCCGCTGCGTAAGAAAACACAAAATCCACATGTTAATTGTTTTCATCTGCATTAATTTCATTCCATAATACGTATCAGTGATAAAGTATCATGCATCATAAAGTATCATGATCTAGATGATAATTACAGCATAACATGTTATACGATAATGCATAAATTGGTATTTAGCGTGAACTAATTCCAGTTCTTTTTAATGTTAATGTACCATAATTAAGCCATTAATTTTTTCTATTCTATATATAATCTTGGTTCTACTTTGTTCTTTCTTCTTAATGGCAAAGTTAAACTTTGTTCATCTTGGTATCATATTGATCCTATGTTCTGTACTTTTTACTGAAACTCTATTTGCACAAGGGTTTCTGGATGTTTGCCGCAATGATTTACTAGAATTAAGATCTTACCAGAAACCCATTCGTCGTTATCCTCCGATTTGTCTACCAAGAGAATATGATTCACTTGAAGAACCTGAGGCTCAAAATAGAAGATCAACTAAAACCTTTTCTCCCCCCCGAGAAACGCTCCGAACTTTTAGATGATATTGTTTGTGAATTACGAGACCGTCCAGACAAAATACTATCGCAATATTTAGAATGCCCACCACCGCAATGTCATGAATGTATACAACCACCACCACCATGCGAAGAATGCATACTAATTCCTCCCTGCGAAGAACACTCACGCCCACCACCATGCGAAGAATGCATACAAATTCCTCCTTGTGAAGAACATCCACACCCACCACCATGCGAAGAATGCATACTAATTCCTCCTTGTGAAGAACATCCACACCCACCACCATGCGAAGAATGCATACTGATTCCTCCTTGTGAAGAACATCCACACCCACTACCTTGTGAAGAACATTCATACCCACCACTTTGTAACGAACATCCACCTTGTAATGAACACCCACACACATTAACTTGTGAAGAGTGCCCATGTAATGAGTACCCACAACCACATGTACTGCCTTGCGACTGTGACTACAAACATCCTCCACGACCTTGTGAGCCATCACCTTGTACACCACGTCCACCACCTTGTAATGGAGCCCAATTTCCTGAACAGATGGTTGCTGAAGCAGATGTAAGAGTAGCTTTTTTTTTTGTTATAATGACGTAGAAAATTAAATACTAAGAATTTTTTATTGTAATATATAAAATTTTTGTAGGTGAAAGTCGATATTGGTAAGAGTGAGGGTAAGGGCAATGGTAAAGGCAAGGGTAAGGGCAATGGTAAAGGCAAGGGTAAAGGCAAGGGTAAAGGCAAGGGTAAAGGCAAGGGTAAAGGCAAGGGTAAAGGCAAGGGTAATGGTAATGGTAATGGTAAGGGTAAGTGCAAAGATTAGAAAATGAATCACGCAGCGAAAATGCACCACGCTAACAATAACTACTACGGGTTGAACGAATATTGAAAATTATTGTAATAACTATAATAATATATATATACGACTTTATAAAATAATAAATATTGATGTTATATTTTAGAATTCAAATATTATCTCTACCTTATCTTGAATAATTAGTACACTAAGCAGTTCACCAATTAGATTATCCTACAATTTAAAAAAGATGCACATTTAATCACGTAATTTGCTTCTGTGTAAGACTTTCTTTTTAATATATATATATATATTCATATCTGATATATAGAAGTTTACATTAGAGAGTATGTGCATTCATGGGTTACAAATTCTATAAGTTTTGGGTTAATTGAACATAAAATTTTAGCGTAGATAGAATGTATTCTTTACGATCCTAGAGATTCGATTCGTTACCCGTTTTCCTGTTTAAAAATTTAACGGATTTCTTCATAATAATTTTGTGACCTTGAAGTTAGTAAATAATACCTTACACAGGTTGAATCAATGAATATCGGGTGCATACCGGAGAAAGTTTCCCGATATGTACCATAGATCCGTTCAAATACCTGTTGAATATCAGCAGCATGTTGGCAGCATAGTGGTAAGATATCGGGAGGTAGATCGATATCAGCAACATAACAGTAAAGTATTGGGATACCCCGATATCTTACTTTTAGACCCAGAGTGCTAAGAGTAGATATCAGGGTATTCCAATATTGCGCTGTTATGTTACCGATATCGATCTACCTATAAATATGCTGCCAATATGCTGCTGACATTCAGTAGGTATTTGGCGGATCTATGGCAGACTAACGAGTACATACCAGGAAACTTGTCTCCCGGTATGCACCCGATATTCATTGATTCAACCTGTGTTAACTTGTAATCTAAATAATATATAGAAAGTAAAAAGAGAACTTATCCGTCTCTAATTGTTTAGAAAAATGAATTTTCATTCGAGTACACACTGGAAGCATTTTATATCATGTCCAAGTTATTGGATCGATTGGTACTGTGCATTACCTAATACATGAATAATAATTCTTAGAGTAAGTAATAATATTAATAAGCTTATTAATCTAATGTTTATTTGACTATCTGTTGAATTGGTTTCTTTTTTCTAGATCTACTTTAGAACGGTGGATCTGCACAGTCCAATAATGGTCCTGCTCACTTCACCGACAATCATTTCGCCGAAAGTTCACATAGCCGACATCACATAGGGTTAGCGTTAGCGTTTTATTAATTGTGGGCATATATTTTTAGTAAATTGTCACTTGGCGTGATGTCAGCTAAGTGAGCTGTTGGTGAAATGATTGTCGGTGAAGGTGGATCCTAATAAATATTATTATTTATTCCAAATCTGGTCAATTTTGACCAGAATTATAATTATGGGTGCAAGGATCGCCTAGAACCGCGTAGTGATCAATTTAAAACTATATATCTGGCTTTACTTTTAAGCGAAATACAATATGAGATAGCAAAAAAACATCTAATAATAAAATTTATTATAAATCAATTATGATTGATTAATTTTCTATAGTTAAATTTTAATTGGCTATAAACATATAGCGGTAGGCTATATCGGCTGTAAATGTAATAAACTACCTAAGCTGTTGCTTATTATCATATTGTATCGACTTGGGGTTATTTGCTAATTAGGGACTATGTTCATAGTGTCCATATTTTTTTATTAGGTAAAGTTCCGAAATATTCCGAAACTTTAGGCAAAGAAGATATGATTTGGATTAGTCCATGTTAGAGGTGCAGGCGAATCATCCCAATGATGTCTCAATGATGTTACGGCTTAAGCTGTAACTAGCTAAAGCTTATGTCGTAACTAGTTACGGCAATCATTGGGACGATTCGTCTGCATCTCTAGTCCATGTCCATATTTGCCCAAGTCCAAAGTCAAATGCCGACACTGATTAGGGAGGTTGTTTTGACAAAATGCGATTAAAGTTTGTGTTACATTGGCAATCTTTTGATAGAGCGTTATCTTCGAAGAATTGATTTTTTTCAAATCTAAAAATCTTTATTTATTAGGCTAATGTATAATACTGCGTATAAATTAAAACCGATACTTTAACTTGAATTAAAAACTTAAAATGCCAACTGGAAGTTTTCCTAGTCTATTCCTCATATTGAATATTTTTTGCTGCCCGGTACTGTACTTGGAAATTTTGAACTTACGTTTACTCGATATTACTCGTACAGTATTCTGATAACTTTATGAGACAATAATAATTTAAAGTTATACGGGATTTATTGGATACTTCCAAAATTAAAGATTGAGTCCTGTCAATTTATGGTTAAATTGAAATAACATTGAAACAACATTGACATAACATTGACATAATCAGATTAATAGTTAACGAGTTAGAAAATAATAAAAGTGAGAAAACTTGTAAATAATATTTACTTTTTAATCAAAACATCTTAAAACCAAGTAATTGAACACAAGATTTTAACATTATTCCAATTAAGGTGACTCAAATGGTATTAAGAAGTAAATATGGCTCTTTCTCACATATTCGGTTTTTTATTCTGAAACGAGATGTAAGATAATTATTAGTACGTACGTAGTATTACGAAAAAAAAGACAGATGCATAAAGTGCACGGTCGTAAAACCTTATATTTTGTATTCAACCATGATCTGCAATTCATTCTATTTCATTCTATCAATATTGTAATAATTGTTTCATTTATTAATTTATTGAAGATATTTTGTTTATATTTACAATTTGATCTTTTGTATTCCGCAGATGTCATCTATACATGCATCAATTGTGGTTAAAAAAATTCCCGGTGAAATTTTAACGAATTAGGTGAATTATAAAATTAGCTTGAAAAAAAAATTTAACATTCTTGGTTAAATCTATGAAAATAAAACATGATATAGTGCATATAAGTTCGTCATTGATTTTATATATTATTGGTAAATAAGTTTATGTAACATCAACTTTGCAGTTAAAACGCGTCATTTTGTTTTTTGTAGCTGTCATCTCTTCTAAGGAAAAGAGACTCTCAAATTATTTATAAAGCAATTTATTCCAAAATTTCATTTGTTCTATATCATTCAAACTGACTATCTGTTCCTAATGCTCTCCTTAACATTCCTTTGTTACGTATTGATATTCTTGACATATTTCTTTTCTATAAGTTATTGTCAAGACTTAAATTCTAATGATGAAGATGATTCTAACTTTAATGTGGAACTTGCAAAAGAAATTGGTGCCTCGACTATGCGTGCAGTCTATGCGATTGGTCTGGCATTACTTCAAATTGATGCCTGTTGCATACTATATGTAGCTTATCGTACATTTTTTCGCTGGCGAAGAAATAATAGATGTTTATCTATGGTTTATAAGTTACCATTTTATATGGCATGCTTCGGTAATTATTATTGATTATTATAAATCTTAAAGACTTCTTTTTTTTTGTCAAAATTTGATAAATAACTGTTTAAAATAGATTTCATTATCTATGCTTTTCAAAGCTCCAACTTGGTAAGAACTAAATGTAATTATAATTCAAATTTAAACTTACTATTACTAACTTTCATATTTTATAAATTAGATTCATCCTCTTTTGTATATCGCTAACTGGCCTGAGCCGGAATGTTCGATAATTTCTGGAGGTTTCTTTTTTGGTTCCATAGCAAGTATGAGCTTTGTTGGCTTATCATCATTAATGAGCTGGCTCATAGGTAACCTGGATTAGAATATGTGTAATAGCTCAGCTTTTTTTAATCAGTAAAAACATTATTGATCTCTTTTTTATTTTTTATTTTATTTGAATAGTATGCAAAAAAATACAAATTGATTTAGGCCCATATGATTACAAATTATTTATTATTCCATTTGGACTCTCAACTATTTTAACAGCTGTTTCTGCGTCTACATTTGGCAATGATCAATTTTGGTACGTATATGAATAATCAATACATGAATTAACATTTTATCTACGAATATGACATTATATTTACATTTTTAAAAATTTATAGGTGTTATACTCCTAATGAATTTATCATAGTTCCGATTTGTTTAATAGCCGTTGATTTGATAATTCTTACAATCTCCTTGTTTTGCTATTTAAGCATTCTAAGGAGAATCACAGATTATGATTTCCAAGAACAGTTCTCTCCTGCGTCAAGAAAAATCATAAGCTATATCTTAGTTTATATAATTCAATGGGTGCCTCTTGTAGTATATTTGGCTTTAGATATGGCAAATGTAAGTCTGTTTAAAAAAAAACAATTACTTAAAGTGCAAAATCTTTATGTAAACTTGATCATTTATTTGATTTTATTATTATTATTACTTTTTAGTGTGAGGAATTATGGATATTCTTCCTTACAGTCGGTTCTATTTCCTTGGGTGGTATTCTCAATGCGGGACGTTACATTTTAAACGAAGGATGGACCAATGATCCTAATTCATTCGTTGACCTTTCTTCTAATGAAGAAGTACATGCCCCTAAATCTATCAAAAGTGATTAAATTAAAAATATGAATCAAAATTGGAATTCTTGTTTAAAAACTCAATCTAATAGTCTAAACTCCGAAGATACCGAAACTTTGCAGGATTCTCAAAATATCTGTAAACTGGTATGATAGATGCTGCACGTAATGTTGAAAAATCAATTATGAAAATATGTATTTGTATGCAATTTATCATTATGTATTTTATATACGTATTTTAAGCAAATTTCTATGTATGAACGCCTCCGACAATTTACCTACAACGTATAATAAATTCTTTTAAAGAGATATCATTTTAAAGTCCCTGTGCGTAAATTACCTATTACAGTGTAGAGCTCATTATGATGCGTAGTTTATTGCTGTGGTAACGAAGAATTATTATGATTATACAATAGTCAGACCTCTCTAAATGCACAGCCGTGGGCAGCCAAAAAAATCTTGCATTTAGGGAGGTAAAAATCTATAAGTGTCATATGAGTTGGGACCATGCAAGGCCGTGCATTTAGAGAGAATATGCATTTAGAGGGAATATGCATTACGTATAAACTTAATTATTACTTATGCCAGAACCTAGATGTAATTAAAAACTGCCAATATCGTCACCAATAGTCTACTTTGTTATTTATTTGCATTCAGCGTTTACAATTTATAATAACCAAATAATTAAATTGACCAATATTTACCCAGTTGGCCAAAAAATAGAAAATTTTGCCAAGTCGACTGGTAATTGGCAGCGGCCAAATGAAAATTTTGGACTATATGACCGATTTGGGCTCTTCCGATGTACAGGGAAACACAAGCAAAATTCCCGGAAAATCATTTTACTAATAAATCTATTTATACCAAGAAATT